AACTGGGAACGTGTATCTGAGCACAGAATTTAGCCCCATGCTTGAATAATATAAAATCAAAATGGTTAACAATGGTACCCAAAAGATTAATGAATTTCTACAGAAATAAATTAGATTTGAAATGACTGTTGGAACATATGCATTATACAAAAGATCATGAAATCCATTTCATCTGACATATTGTACAATGAGCTACAAGAACATTTGCAACTGATAGAAGTATGTAAGATCTCATGTATTATTCTTACAATAAAGATTACACCAAGGAAGCCAGCTGTTATACTTCATATTGTGCTCTAGCAACCTGAAGGTCACGAACCAGAGACATGACTTGAACATTTTGATCATCAGGGTTTCATGGTCTACAACTGGAACTTAGGAGCTGAAAAGTTGTTAGATGTTGACTGTACTATGCATGTTTCTCTAACTGGGGCAATAGTGATTCATAAAATGTAATGTAGAATGTGGATTAATACAAAAATTTGCAACCAAAAAAGAGGGAAAATATATCCTGTATAGCTGGAGTCCTCTGCTGCAGGAATTTTACAATTGCAAAGATAAAACAGTCCAGATTTCAGCATCTATGTTTTCTTTGATGTTCCAAAGAGAAGCAACATATGGATGCTCTATGTTTAACATAATGAAAAACAAATGCACACAACCTTTAAAATTCTATGTTAAAAAGCTGAAAGTTGCACTTAGAATCAGGTGCAAAGCTGTCTCAAAATACTGCTCTATCCAGAGTCATTAAAACAACATGGAAAAATCAGCCTTCAGAACATGTTTCTGAAAGTGCCAGGAACAATATATTTATGCAATTTCACCATTTTTTATAGGAAGCAAGACCATACAAGTTTATTCCATAGCTGAAAAGGGGATGTAGATGAAAATTAGGCATGGGCAACATAGGACATGTCTCCCCCAAGTATCTAAATGCTCAGTAAGGTACACATTTATTAGCTGGCAGTGAGAACTGTCCCATTTTACATATGGGTCCATGTCAGTTTCAGCCAATCAGATTTCTCTTATACTACAAATAGCCACTTGCTTCATTTGTATTATTTTTAGAAGTAAAACTCAAGGGGGTTGGGTTAATAGGCTTGATTTCTGAATACAGCTGAGCAGGCATTGTAGCACAAATACTGTGATTGTCAGAGCAGAACTTTGGCAAGTCCAATTCACAAACTGTACTAGCCACTCCCATTCCCAGGTAGAAAATGCAATTTCTCTTGGGGAAAGACTTATTCAGCAAGGATTTAAGCAAATAGGACTTACACATATATCTAGGCTTAGTCTCCACAATAATGTTCTGTGTTGGGCTAGAGATGTGAAAAGATCACACCCCTCAGCTGACATATCTAAGTATGATGACATATCCCCTGGAGTAGAAGTAGGTGTGCCAACCTAATTTACAAACAGCTTACTTCTGTTATTCAGAAAAGTATTAGCAAACCTCTATTAGCATATGGGCGCTCAGTTAGTGGCTGAGGCTTTGTAGTTGAGACAAGGCAAAAAATTAAAACATATATACTTACATGTTTTGTAAAGTAGGGATGGATTGCTGAATACAGGACCCTAGGTCATACTGGGCATGCCAAAAAATTTTAAAATATATATTTATATTAGTTCTGTAACTCTGATCAGCACAATATAACTATCTTATTTGCATAGTCATTCCCATGCCAGAAATTTAAGATCTATACTTACAGGCTACCTTTGTGGACAGTCCTCCATCAGAACTTAAATCTACCCCTAACTGAATCCTTTTAACACAAAGAAATTTAGCTGATATTTTCATCCACATTTACAACAGTAAAGTTAAAAGAATATTTTTACAAGCAAGCATTCACGGGTATTCTTCCTGAGGACAGCTGATGAATTTCTAAATTGTTTTACTAACACTTCTGTTTCAGTAGTATTCAATGGAAAAGCCATGTTTCTTTCATTACTAAGGCTAGGGACAGACATTAAAAAAGCCTGAGCCTGAATTGATTTAATCTTTGCAGGTTAGTCTAACCTGGCTTGGCTGAACCACTTTGTAACCACACAGACATGTCCTCTGGACTGAGAAAATGCAGGCACATGCCTGCAGTGACCCAGGGTAAAAGCCAGGCGGCACTAGAGAAGCCCTCCCTTCACTTCCACAGAGCTGAGCTGAGGAAGGGCATGGCCAGGCCCCAGCAGGACACTCTTATTATTCCACCCCCACCCTCCTGAGCTGTCCAGCAGGGAATGTTTATCATCCTTAACTCAATGGTTATTAACCCATTAAGAAAACAAAGCCTCTCTCCATTAGCTAATAGAGGTCTTCTTAAACAGCTCTTCTAAAGCAGGACATTAAGCTACCTGTTGATTATCTCCAAAAAGCCTGTCTGCTGTTGTTGTCTCCCACAGCACAGACTGTAGCCAGCATGTGATCTGCTACCTAATGCTGAGGTGTCTACATAAAGCAGAGGGGTAGGGGGAATAATCCCTACTCAGCAAGAAGAATCCAGGCTGACACTCTGTGCCTGCAAGTCTCTACCAGAGCTGCAGCCAGGAAGCAGAGGGCAGGAGCCAGCCCTGCTGTGGAGCAGAGAGCCTTGCCCAGCCCCGAGAGCATGCCGGGATGCTGAGGGAGTCTGGTTTATTTTAAACCAGTAAGGGGTCTGGGGCAGACATTGCATAAACCGGTTTGACTCAAATCAGTTAAGTTTCATACTACATTCAACTAGGTTTACCTCAAATCAGTTTCAGCCATTTTCAAACTGGATTATGTGCACTGGACATCTGTTCTGTTAAGGATTTAAACCAGTTTCTGATCACTTAAACCGGTCTGTGTGTAATGTCTGTCCCTAGCCAAAATGTTTACATAGGGTAAAATAGACTTAAAAACCCTTAATCCTCTAAGAACAACAGATGAGTCTAATCTGGTAAAATCATAAGGAGTCTGGATGTCAAAGACCCTGATTTTGGTAATATTTTAATGCAAGATAATTATTTCAATTTTAAAATATATTATAATAACAGTTATTATGTGATATTAGTGAAACTAGGTGCTCAGACACCACAGTGATGAGGTTTTATAAATAATATCAGAAGTACTAAAAGTAATGTAAAAGGAAAAAAATCAGAATTAAAATAATTTTGCATGTTATGATTATGATACTGAATATTTTGTCAGATTTCATATTGCAGCTGGAAGCAGCATAAATGTATTGGGTTCATGTAACTGAATAGGACAATTAGATGAAGCATGTAACATTTAAAACAAGAGAGATGAGAGCACGAGAGAATGAGAAAACATTGAGAAGGACAATACTGGTAGCTAGTTTTCACAGAAGTTTGGCCATCTTATCTCCAGGGTTAAGTCTACCTCAAATCATAGAAAATCAGTTTGGTAGCATTAGTGAAGTGTCTGTTGAAATTGAAGTCCCCCCATTTTCAGGGTTAAGTGTTAAAAAAAACACAATAAAAGTGTTTTTCCATATTGCCCACCAATGTATCTCATCACTGTTCAAGAGGGATTGCATCCAGGACTCTTAAGTGTGGTTTCTTTTAAGATGTTTGGTATGTCTGCACTAGGTACTAAACTAGCATGCCAGTACATTTCTTATAGATTGATTACTGAAAAGACTTTCAAGATAGTAATGACTTTCAGATAGTAAAGACTCAAGTCAGATTTGAATAAGTCAGCTGAAGGTAAATGTTGCATATCATATACCAGTCCTTGGGTTAGTCAAGTACCAAATACATTTTTACAAAATAAACCTTATACTGTTAACAAATACAACTTATGGTAGACAAAAATGAGGGATTTCACATGCTACTCAGATTGGGATACAGCCAGGAGAGAGCATGGTCAATAAATATTATTGTTTGGAAAACATTTATTGCCATCATACTGATAATGTATTTTAAATCCTGGGGTTATCAAGAAAGTGCTTTTTTTTCACCATACTGTTTGACAGCTGAAATTAAACAAATCCTATTGAAGTACAAAGCTAATAGAAGGTTTACTATGTGTGTCATTAGCACCATCCATATAAGGAAACAGAAAATATGAGGTGTGGATTTTAAAAATATGATAAAATGAGAGTACTGTTAGATGCATACAAAGGTGCGACTTCAGGCCAGGCATTTTCTTATTAGAATCAAAGTGTCTCTATCTTATTTTAGTAAATAATCACTGTTGTGTGATTCAAGTTGACATCTTTCAAATTATTTTATCAAGCCAAAATATATTCTGCAGTTGAAATATGTTTTAACTGTTGTGTCATTTTAATAAAATATATGGCATGAAATGATTGCTTTATAATATGCTGCTAAACATTTTTATGTTCAAATATAGCAAAGGTAGAATGCAGCAACTTAATTTATATGCTAGTATATTTTTCAGCCCTTACTTTGGGTTCTGTTATTTATATGTTTGATGTGAAAGCTCATACAGCTAAAAGTTTAAATATATATTAAAAAGTTCCCTAAAAATTACATTAATACATGAGTTCACTGCAATCACTCTATTCAGAATCATTCTATGTGGGCTCTCACTTGAAGTTTCTTAAATTGAAACCCAGTCAAAATCAATGAGTTTCACTTGATTCTGTATTACAACTGCATGCAATCATGAATTCCACATGGCTTCTATATAAAGCCACATTGACCTACAGTTTAAAAAGCAGACCTACTATCGCTAGAGTGGTTTGTTAATCTATGCAGATCTTTCACTGAACGTAGTCTATGTTTCAATAAACGCTGTCTAAGTTTCAAGTTTCTAACTAAACCTGTAAGCTGAAAAAGATACATGGTTTGAATTTTTTGAAAGGTAATACAATATTCACATTTTTTTAAATGGCAGATAAAAAACAAGGGTGTAGATTTATTTTGCTTGCTTTGGGAAATAATAAGTCAAAGATAGGTTCAAATTAATTAAGGTAATCAAATTAAGGTTGAAATTGGATTTGAAATTTGTTTATAATATATACACACTACAGGCACATCCAGATCAGTCCACATGTGCATCTTGCCACATCTCAAAGCAGTTTGAGACTCGGCAAGGGGCACACTGGGACAAGAAAAAGGTTCCCCACACTGCATATTTGCATCATGGGCTCAAAATTTGACACCTGGATATCCAGGTATCAAAAAACAAAACAAAACAAACAACCAAACAAACAAACAAACAAGGAAAAAAAGCAGGGCAGGGCACAGTCCAAAACCATGTCCTGAGGCAACCAGAGGCTCAGGTTCTCCAAAGAGATGCTCTGGTAGCCAGCCAGAGCATTTCTATGGCTGGCCCTTGCCCCAGTGCTGGAGGACACTGCCTCCATGTGTGGGGCAGTCAGAAGCTTTGCAGACTGCGTGGACCCCAGCTCCATCAGAGGTAAGTAAAGTGACAGGTATGCCAGATGTCCACCAGGGAGTATTCTGTCAGGATCTCCCCAAAAATGCCTACAGTGGCCTGGTTCGTCTCCCTGCCTGACTGGTCCCATGTGTCCAGGGTGACAATGAAGTCTCCACTAAGGACCAGGCACTCACGAGGGTTGAGGGTGCTGATGTAAGTGGCTGCCTGGTGGAAAAAATCCATGAACTCCAGGTCCTTTGCAGAGGGATACACATTAAGAAGGTTCAGGACCAGCCCCTGCACTTGGACCTGGTGGTGCAGGAAGTGGCCCAACACCACCTCAACATCTTGAAGAACCTCCAGCTGCAGGCCTGGGGAGAACAGGGTGGCCACACCACAAGAGGGTGCTGAGAAGTAAATTCTGCCTCCCCACTCCAGCTTCCAGTTAGGCTCATTGGCTAGGGTCATCAGGGTCTCCTACAAGGATACCATGGGGTATCCCACTCCTGAAGGAAGGAGAGCACCCAGCACCTCTGGACACCCTTCCTGCAGCCATGGATGTTGAGGGTCATGATCTTAAATGACCTCATGGCTGGGGAGGGTGGGGTAGATGGTTCAGCAAGGGCCTTGCATGCCTCAATGCCTGGTGTGGGGGTCACTGGCTTGCTCAGCACCCTCCAATAAGCATAGAAGGCATCTACAAAACTGCAGGTCTGCCTATAGATTCAGGCATTGCAGCACTTAACCCCTTTGCCTTTCTCTGCCAGCACCCTCACAGTGTTGAGGACACTATCAAAATCTCTCCAGCGGTCCAAGGCAAGCTGCACCTTGCTGATGGACCGCTAGGTGTACTCACAGTCAAGAAACACAAGTAGCTTCCCCCTGGGGACAGCCAGGACCAAAAGGCCCGTAGGCTCCATAGATTCCACCAGTTCTTGGGCATCCTCCTCCTGGTCCTGGGACTCAGCGAGCTCCTTTGGCACCATCTGAACCCCTCAGTCCACTAAGACCCCAGATTGGAAGAGCTCTGCAGCCCCTTAGGATGGAGATGGGGATAAGGGTGGGGGTAGGACTCCCTTACAAGATGGCAGGGCAGAGCTAGAACCCCAGGGTTCTGTGCAGATTCTCCAACAAGATCAGCCTGTTGGTCAGGGGACCCCACTTCGACCCCCTTTGTTGTGGGACCATAGGGTGGGCTGGCAGCAAGGTTTTTTTCTGGGAGGGGGAAGGAGATCTGTTAGGCACTAGGGTGGCATTGGTGCCTGCCTCGGGGTCCTGGGAAAGAGGACTTCCCCCCATCAGGACTCACGAGGGTGAGCCTCAGAGCCCCGGTGTCCCCCAGATTGTCAGAGGGGGAGGGCTTCGCTGCTGGACCTACTGTTGGGCTGGCTGAGGCCTTGGTGCCCATGGTCTTGGGAGGTAGAACCTGGCCAGCAGAATGAGGGGACTCCTCCATGGGCTTCTGCTTGGGACTGTCCAGCAGCCCTGAACCCTCCTCCACCGGGATTAGCCATTTTATCTTTCCCGGGGTGGGGGGCGTCGAGCACAGCTGGGAAAGCAAGCACCCAAGAAGTGAGCTCTTCCCTCCCCCTGTATGGTGGTCTGAGTGTGCGTGTGGGGGGGTCTTCTACTTCAGAGTGCTCCAGCTGCATCTGGGCCTTCCACTTGGCTTTGTGCCTGGAGGGGACCTGCACCCACTCAGCCACAGTGTGGTCCTCAGGTGGACAAACTCTGATAGGAGGGTTGGCAGGGTGGGGCACTTTCAGTGGGGTCATGGCTAGGGGTTACTCCCTCTCTCCCCTCAGCTGCTGCCTCCCTACCTGGGACTCTGCCAAACTTGGTTGGGGGGTGGGGTCCCCTGTGTGCATGGGGGGCTGGGTCTTGTCAGGGTGCCAAGGGGGCCTGAGGGGGAGGGGCACCAGCATGAGTGACTGGTGCCTCCTGAATCTGGGGGGGCACCTGCAGAAACTGCTGACTGCATCCGGGGGCACCAGCCTTACTGACAGCATCAGTGTTGGCCTTCAGGGGGGCACGTGCCCCCCCGTGCACCCCCTACCAGTCACCTATGGGCACCAGTGGCAGGGGCACCCATCTCGTCAGTGGCACCCCTCTTGCCAGTGATGCCCTTCCCACCAGGCTCATGGGGCACTCATGATGCAAGTGCCCTGAGGCATGGCACTAGAAACACTACAGGTCCCCCAACATATAAAACACCCTCACCAGGACCCCCTGAAAAGGAATCACAAGGCACCATCGGTCATATTCCCACTGCCAGTTGGATTATGACCTGGTGGTGGAATCAGCACGTGGCGGACAAAGCGCACGTCCAGGCATGTGTACCGAGGCAAAAATCCCCAGCTCAAATTTGTGCAGCTCCTATATGAGCTGCTGCAAGCATATGTGCCTGCATGTGTGGACGTGACCTACTTGTGTATTTTAGACCTTGAATATAATGTTTATCTCAATCATCTAAGTTCTATTGACATATATCCATGGAATTATACAGGACAGATATTTGGACCATTATTTTTAGGTGACTTATTTAAAATAACCCTTTGCATTGCCGTTACTATTTCAAGTTTTTCCAGTTTCACTTGTGTTCCAATATATAACTTGCTCAAGTTCTCTAATTTTACTTATAAATTTCTATTATTTTATCTTAGGCTGCTTTTCTGTTTGCTTGTTTTGCCCATGATCATCCTCTATTTGTTGGAGAATTGGGTTCCCCTAAATCCTGAAAGCTGCACAAGGTGGAAACTGAGCTACGGAAAACTATTTCAAAGCTTCAGGCAAAACTGGATAGTGTGATTGGCAACCTACATTCTGCAATTGTCTATTATGTTTATGTTCATGTTCATGCCTGTAGCAGAGAAATATTGTTTGCTAAACTTCTGTTATAGCAAATGGAAGTCATAGCAAAAAATGTAAGCATGACAGCAAGTGATTTATTAGAATGGGCCATATATACTTTTTGAATCAAGACTTTAGAAAGTGGCTGGTCTACATCTCTACTAATCAATGCCATTCAAGCTTTTTCATATTACTGGAAGATACAATATCTTGTTGCTTGAATGCTACTTTATGCCTAATGCAAATTCTTCCTAGTATGACTGAAGATAAAGGTGGTGCGTGAACTGAGAAGTAAACAAAGACTAATCATATTTGTTTCTGCTGCTTTAAAAACAGAGGAAAAATACTGCTCTAGAGGTAAACACCTACAATAACTAAGATGAAATTCTGTTCCCAGGCCCAAAAGTTTTTTTAGAGACTAAGTCAGAAGTCTCATTTTAATGCAAACATTTCCTTTCACTGTTTGCAAATATGCATTGGGTTAACTAAGCAAAAGCCATATTGCAAGAAGTCATATTACTGTTAAACTGACTTCATTTCTCCAAACAACTAACTTTTCAGTATCCTGTGTACTCAGTTCCAAGGTCACCATGATTCCCTAAGCTAAAAATATCCAGGATCCAATTCTGGTCTTGTCTGCTGATGTCAGCAGAATTACTCCCAACTTGTACCACTATCAGTAACATCAGTTCCAGGCTGTTCATATCAAAAAGGATTTTTGTTAGCAGTAAAGAAAAAAAAAGTTAAACAAGCTCTGACAATGTCATATTATCAGTAGAATCAAAATGAACCAAATACATGTTTGTTTTTTTAAACCAAAACCCTAAGATGGATAGACTACAGTGTCTCTAAAGCAGTTACAACAATTGCGTAACTGTGAGTGCAGTCTTTGTTGATGGGATAGTGCATCTGACTTTTCAGCACTAGGTACCCTGTTTTCAGATTTTGCCTGTGAAAAAACATTTACTAATCCCAATTTAGATCCTGATTCAGAAGAGTACTTAAGACCAACCATACTATTTAATTCAATGGGACTACTCCTACACTGAAGTATCCTGCTGAATCGGGGCTTTCCTCACATCAGTCGAGAATCCCTTTGCCAAATGGAGTTGATGAATCTGGTGTACATGCATACTGCACATTACCTGAGATATAACTTCAGATGAACAGGGCTGTTGTGGTCTGCTGCAGGGAGCTAGCTGCCTTTTGGCAATGCCTGTAGGATCTCGTGTCAAATAAAGTTATTCTTTACATCTCATACTACAAAAATAAACAATATGGGACAAGTTTAAAAGAAATACTTTGTGCAACTCTTGACAGCAAAAGTTTGTAATTTAAAATGTTAAAGGCTCCCTAGTTATGTCATTCAGGGTTGCTGTATACACTGTCTTCCTTCATTTTGGAATCTGTAGTTTATGTGGCTTCATAAACAGTAGAACAGGAAGACAAAATTTGAATTGGACGCTGTGCCGAATTTTCTGACAAACATCATAATGAACATCTGAATAAGCAATACAGGCATTTGACAAGAAAATGGATTTTATTCTACAATTAAAATGCTGAATATAATTTACCCCAATGAAAGAAGAAAAATAAATTGTTAAGAAGCAACTACATACGGTAAAGAAAAAAATAATTACATCTAAGTATATTTGCAGTGATTCACGATGGCTATTTACATCAAATGATTTTTTAAGTATTAAATATGATATCCATTTAAATGTAATAACTTGTATGGCAAATTTTCATCTTTATTTCAGAGTCATGCTATTTTAAAATTTGTCATTAGAGCTAATAAGAAATTATATTGGAACTACTCTGTACATTTAAATGAAGCATAAATCAACTATTGAAGCAAGGAATTTTTTCATCATTGTAATGATTATTGGAATAAATTTAATCTTTAGACATTTCATAATGATGCTCACAATAGCAAATTTATATATATTATAATATTATATATATTTAAAGATAAATATCTAGATATATCTATAGATCTATATATTTGTATGGATAATTTTAGTTAGGTGCTTTTTGAAAGTATTTCTCATCTAACAAAACACATTAGTGCATATGTTCCCAATACAGGAGTATTCTACACATTGAAGTATGTATCATAGTTTAGATTACTTTAAAAATCAAATTTAGGTTTCAAGAATATTAATCACCAGACTTACTAAGGACTTAGGAATCAATCCTGTATGTTTTGGAAAGAGTTACAAACAATGAAGGTAACAGCAATTTTTTCAGCATCTGGTATCAGCATTTGTTTAGCATCTGCACAGAGAAGCTTCTCCTTTGTGCAGATAAATGTTCACCAGGCTCAGAATTGTGAGCAAATCTCTGCTCCTGCACTAAGGTGATCCTGGTAGAGGATGGGAGTGGATGTGACATGACAAGAGGAACAGCCTGGTCAGTGCATGAGTGAGTGGTTGTCATGAGTGTAATTCAGTGACTGAGTGATGCGTGCATAGTGACCATTTGATTATCAGTCTGATCTAATGCCATCCAGGTATAATAGCTTGGTCAGAGGAATTTAAAACAGTACTCTGAAGACAAAGGAGAACAAAGCTAAAACAGACACAGAAAAGTGTATGAGAATTACATGAAGTGTTCCTATGGCATTCTTCTTTCCTTATTTCCTCTATTCAACTAATGACACCAGTCTCATTTGCCTGCAAGTCAGTCTTGACAAATGTTCCTCCACTGTCTTACCCTTAGGCATCAACTACTTTCCCTGAACTGATCTACAAGTCTCAATGAAGAAAACCCATTCTGTGAGACAAGCAAGCAACTTCATGTTCAGTACAAGTGTTCAGTGGGTAAGAAAGGGTCTGGAGGGTCTAATGTTGTGGTCTCAAAGTAGGCAAAGCTCCTGTTTGCTTCAATGGGTATTTTGCTTGAGAAGCAGTCTTCAACTGACATTCAGGTTATACAGATCTATAAAAAGACAGGGTAAAGAACTGACCTGCTTGAAATCAGAGGCAAAGCTTTCATTCACTGCAAGGGAGAGAAAATTGCATTCATTATACTCTCCCCCTCAACAGCAGCTCAGACTTTGATTAAATTTATAAATTGTTTTTATACAGAATTATTTTGTGCATATCTAACTACTCTTTCTTGTGCATGAGTGTAGCCACAACAGAACTGAAACAATTTGCTATGTCAGGGGGGAAAAAGCCAAGACTGAAGAAGAGGTAAGTTGTACAAATAAATTCTCCCTTCTTCATAGTTTATTAACCTAAGGATAGGCCTGGCACACAGCAATGTGATTTTTAATACCAACTGTGAGAATGTCTTCCTCTATTCTGAACAATGAACTTAGCTCCTTTACCTCTCCCCATTTGTAAACAAGGGGAAAAAAAATTTACTTAGGAACACATGACCTCTTAGGTCCCAAATCAAGCCCCAGGTTAAAACTAATTCACAATTTTTTGGCTGTGTTTGCTTACACTTCTCTATCTACTTTGTATTGTAAAATTTAAGGGGCTAATTTGGCCAAATAGTTCATTCCTGTGGAAATACTGGATTATTCATACGATTCATTTTTTAATCCTGTGTCCAGTCTAGTTTTAAATGTGGCAGTTGACATAGTTTCCATCCATCCCATCAAAAGAGTTGCAGCTTCATATATTAGAAAGCCTTAGAATAAGCTACATTTACCTCTTCATGATTTTATGCTATTTGCCACTATCTTACACTAACTTTCTTATCACCCTAAAAAGGTACAGATAACCCATTTCAACACTGCTGAATGCACTGACAAAATAATCTCAGATCCATAACAGGTGCACACGTGTGCCAAGGCACTAAACAGACAAATATATCCTAGCTGCATTTTTAAATGTCCTTTTTAAAGACATCATGTTTGCTTTTCTCTGTGGGGACAGTATGTTCTAGAATACAATAGAAAGAACCTGAAGGATAAGGTTGCCAACAACATGTCAGAGATAATTAGTGCAAAAGGAAAAAGAACCTCCTCCTTTGACACTGGAAGGCAGCTAAGGGAGAGAGGGTGAAAAGAAGCCACACAAAATAGCATCACTCAAATCAAAAGCATATAATAGTTAGCAGTTCAGCCATTGACACCATTCCCTTCTGTTTTACAACTTTCTTTGAAATCACTAGAAAAAGTTACTCTACTTCCGACTAGATTTTGGTCCAGTACAGACTACAGTGTTATACTGGCAAAATCAATACACACACAAAAAAGATGTCTACAAATGACTAGACCCCCAGTGCATACAGTGTATCATAGTTACCCACTATAACAGGGTTCATCTCCACGGGTGGCCATAGTGCCCCTGGAGTCCCCTCAGCCCTTATCCACTTGGCTCTTTGGGCAGTCATCCCTTCATTTACCCACCATGCCTTGATGCATCTAAGCTTCTAGATAAAGGGAGGCTGCCACAGGGCTTCCCAAGCCTGAGCTTGCTCACGTGATCACCAGGTGTCCATGGTCATTGCCTTAAGGGCCAGTTACATGGCTCTGACCTCTCCTTTATGCCATGCACATGCCTCACAAATGATACTCCTTCCTGGTGTCAAGCTCCTTCTGAGT